AGTATTTCTAAGGACTCAAACAAAGGTCTTGTATCTTCATTATAATTTAAGAAGGTCATGATCCTTACAATTTCCTTCTGCATCTTGAAGATTGAGAGAAGTCTAGTCGGATAAGTACTCCCCCAAATGATGTTACAAAAATTCAAGTAGGGATAAATCATAGTATGATATAAAGTTAGCAATGTTTTAGAGGTTAAGTAATGTCTTGCCTCGGCCACTATGTCTGTCATCTGCGAGATTTTACTAGCAATGTGCTTGGCGAAGTGGAAAAGGACTGTAGCTTTAATAAAGTTCACTTCTGTTGATCATTGCTTGAGAAAAGAAGAAAGTCATGATGAAATATATATATCTTATTAACCAAGCGCGAGGGCCGTACTGGGAGAATATCGGCCCGAGGTCTTGACAGTACGGACCGAGCGCAGCGAGGTCCGTACAAAAAAGACCGAGGGCCGATATTCTTCCAGTACGGTCCCGAGCAAGCTTGGTTAATAAGAGATTTATTATACGACTGAAGTTCAAAGGGACACAAGTGCGGTATCATTTGGGACCATTTGGGACAGTGCCCAGTCCAATACTTAGAGAATATTGGACCGGCAATAGAGCATTTTGATTGGTTGATTTTAGTTATCGGCCCTCTGACTGCCCGAGTTGTGTAATAATGCAATAAATTCAATAATAACGTTTTCACATTTCAGTGAAAGCACTCTGGAAACATCTTCAACTGATCTTCCCATTCCATCAAGATGGGCCCATCGGGTGGCTCCTGAGAAGAAAGCCCCTAAAGAAGCACCATCCCAAGCACCCTCTAGACCAGGCGCTATAAAATTCACAGACAACTTGACACAACATCACCTGCGTCCTGTTCCTCCTCCTGAGGAAGATATCTTGTATCAATGGAGACTGGCAAGAAAAATGGAAAGAGCTCAAGAACAAGTGAAAAAACGGGGCCCTGCAAGAAGCACTTTTTTGTTAGGACCCTTCCAACCCAGATTTGTTGGCAGTCGAGCAGAGGAGCCTCAAGGTGTGTCTGGTGAGGTGAGAATACTTGAACCTACTTCAGCCCTAGGTCAGTCTCAGAGGGATTTTCTCAATCCACAATCAGGATTAGAAGTATCAGATCCTCCTTTGAGCGGGATGCAAACAAAGCTTGCAACACCCTCAACACTTTCAGCTGACCAAGAAGCAAGATCCACAAGGTTGATACCACCTCATCCCAGCACCACGCTTCTACCTGGAGCACCTGTGGCGAGTGCAGGTGCTGCACAGTGTTCTCAGCCTGTTACAGCAACTGCAAATGAAGCTCAAGGATCAGAACCAAGAATGGGTGTGCCATCTTCTGAACCAATCACAAGACAAGAAATTTTGGGGCCAGGGCAGTCTAGGCTTGTCCAAGAACAGGAGCAATTTGAACTTGCAGATGTACCCTCTCACGTGCATCTTTCATGTGATATCTTGCCATGTCCTCATCAAAAGGCTCTAATTGAAAAAGGAAGGTCAGATCCAGCAGTGAAACTCCCATTGAGTTTCCCAGTAGTGGAGTTAATGCAGGGAGAACTTGACTCACCAGAAAGAGATCTCAACAGAGTTTACAAACCAAGTAGAAAAACACTGAGAGAATCTCACAAAAAGCACCAGTTAAGGGGAAAAGATGCAACTGACGACAAACAGAAGGGTCAAATGAAGTCACCCCAAGCTGAACAAGATGGGCAGAGAAAAAGGGCACATCAAAAACAGAAACCAAAAAGGGAAGCCTCGCAGGAGGCTGGAGCCACTCATGTGTTGAATGGTGTTATTGGAGAGGTGATTAGCAAATACACTGCAAGTACTACAGGTTAACCATGTACAATCACTCTGACAAAGGGCTTATGCTCAAAAGTCAACTCTCTACAGTGGCAAATTTACATTATCGACTCGATTGATAAAAACCAAGTAATCTTATCAAACTACAAGTCAGTCAGTTCTTTATCACTGAAACCCCAGGGGGAGACCATCTGAGGAAGAACAGGAAATAGTACAGGGGACAGGAGTGGGGGGTGGGGGTAAGAATTGTCATGGATTTTGACTATAGGGTCAGGTAGTGGGTATAGATGGTCTTATGAAATCTGACTCCCAAGGTAGAGGTTCCTCGTAGTATTATAAAGATAAGAAGAAGTGTTGAACAATGTACAAGAAGATGGTCATTTTTCAAGGATATCTCTTTGGACTCACTAAAAATGTTGTTTAGTCTATTTACAAGTGATCAATTGATATTACTTTGCTCCCAAGCAAGTAAATTCCAAGCTACCACAACCTTCTCTATCGCCAAAAAAAACTCAGAATGTCAACACTTTTTAAGTTGAGGAGTGCAACTACTGCTATTCTGAAAACATGAACTAACAATTTTTATCATCTAATCCCTGATTTTATTTATTATTTAAGGTTGTCTCAGAGAGACTCTTTGCCACTCCACAGTCTTCCTCAAGCAGTTTGAGTACAAGTGATGAAAGCTTGCAGCAAGGAGATTATCACGAACTATGCCACAAGGTCACTGGTAAGGACACCAAATTTTTTCATATATAAACAATGCCATTTCTTGTTGCCACACTGCGTTAGCAAGATCTAGTTGGCTTTGTTTCATGTTTTATCTCCAGAGGAAAATTCCAATCCTGATAGCAACTCAGATGATAATGAATTCCCTGATGATGAAGTGTTGAAGATCTTGCTTCAAAGACAGAGAGAGTATAGAGACCAGCTTAGGTAACTGTTCCTAAATATGACAGTACCAAAAATATTTAACCCTTTAAATCCAACATCAGTATGCATATTCTCCATACTATCCTCTATACATTTCCTAAGGTGCTGACAAGGAGAATTTGTTTAACAATCTAGAGCTTCTTTAGTTGGTGATCATTTTTTTTTCTCACAGCCTTAAGGTGATATGGTAAGGAGAAATTAGAAGCAAGTCACCCTTTAAGGGCCAAAGGATTAATCACCATTTTACTTAAATTGCAGGAAAACAACTATCGGTATTTATAACTTTAAAAAATGTATTGAAATTTAAAAGTCTCATATATTGTAATTTGCTCTTTTCACAGAGAAATAGACAACATCTTAAGATAACAATCTGGTGATCAACCATCAGCTCGTACAACAGAGCAAGACTGAGATGAAATTTTTAAAGTCTCATGTTGTAATATGCTCTTTTCAAAGAGAAATAGACAACATCTTAAGACAACAATCTGGTGATCAACCATCAGCTTGTACAACAGACGAAGACTGAGATGAAATTTAAAAGTCTCATATATTGTAATTTGCTCTTTTCAGAGAGAAATAGACAACATCTTAAGACAACAATCTGGTGGTCAACCACCAGCTTGTACAACAAAGGAAGACTGAGATGATATACATTCTGTGATAACTGCGTTAAAAGTATTAATATTGATCAAATAAAAGTCTTTAGTTTGTTCACTGTAAATAAATAATTTTCTGTATGATGCAGTTTCCTGTGGTCTTTATCTCTCCTGTCTCTGAAGAAAGTTATTGAAATCTTATCAATAGAGACTCAAGGACTTACAAAATAAATACAGTTACACTAACATTGGATGAGCTTGCTCACAGACTCAAAAAGGTTGGACAAATTTTCATCAACTGAAAAGTAATTGAAAATCACTCAAGTGCCAGAGGAAAAACTACACTGAAATGACATGGCATAGGAACTACACAATCAAATAATAAAAGCAAAAAAACATGTTTTCCTATTCTTAAAAATTGAAGGCTGAATGCCAAAAATGAGCAAAACCATAAATGGTAAGTGCGGTGAAGTCCAGAAATAAACATTTTATGCACTAATAATATACATGAAAAAATTACCCAGTTCTGATTGGTTAACATAAATGCAGTTTTCAGGTAATTCAGTGCAGAAGAGAGTTAATTCAGTGTAGAAGAGGGTTGATTCAGTGCAAAAAAGGTAACAAACCAGACATTCTGATTTGGTTAGAATGATTGGTCAATGTCACTTGCAGGGTTTGAATAAATTATTTTTATGCGTGATGCGCACGCTTTTCTTCTGCATAGTTATGAGAAGCTACCATGTATTTTTTCATGTATATTTTTAATACATAATCACATGATTTTCTCATACAATTTGGAATAAATAAACACTTGCAAATTGATTCAAAGGCCACAAATTGCACTCGCCCTATAGGCTCATGCAATTTTGTTAGTCTTTGAAAAAATTTACCCGTGCTTATTTATTCCAAATTGCACTCAAAATCATGTGATTACCTATACAAAAGTGAAAAGCCTGCTATTTATTATTATTATTATTATTATTATTATTATTATTATTATTATTATTATATTATTATAAATATATATAGGTATGTGTAGTGTTTTTCTTTTTTGGGTGGCCTTTTGTAAGGGAACCTGTTCCTGTTTCTTGGACTTCCCCTTAGCTTTGTATATGTGTTAAGTTTGTTGAGAAAATGATTAAAATAAAGTTAAAGTTACTGAATGGAAAAGGAGAAGATAAAAAAAAAAACTGCACTCCCCCCTTTTAATCATTGTTGTCCTAACTAGTGGGATCCCTAAAAGTAAATCTAGTTTCTGTTAGTCATTTAGGCAAATAAGTTTCGTTTCCTCTGACAAACAAGCTGCGTTAAAGACTTACTGACCCTATTCCCCTTTTGAGCTGCAGAACAAAGTTCCAGTAAACAATCAGTACAGGCTAGTCTATGGAAGGTTTTTGGGTTCATACTGACATACATACATACATACATACATACATACATACTTTATTTGTCATGTAGGTCAGTACAAGAAGGCAGCTAAAAAGCTGATGTGGACCTACTGCACATGCAAAAGAGAATCTGAACGATTTGTACAGTTATTTATAGCCTTAATAGACAGTAATGATCCAGACCTACCCAATACTGTAGAAGGTTTTAAGTTTTCATTCCATTTTGGACATTCGTGAAGACTGGCACTGACTGCGCTGTCAGCTAGGAGTCTGGCACTAGTGCTGAGCGCGCAATAACTGCTGGGATACAACAACCTCCATCATGGCGTCTGGAGCTGGAAGCAAGAAGAAAGTCAAAGGCGCAATGGATCACGAGCAGATTATACTGCAGTTTAATCAGATGAGGCAGGAGTATAGGCGTATTGTGGGGAAAATAGGAGAGCTTGAAATGGAAGTCAATGAGCATGGGTGAGAACCGATTTAAAAATCTCTCAAGATTTGTCAAAACGATAAGCGTTCCATCATGACAATTTTTTACGGGAATGTCAAACAAAGTTGGACAATAAATATTTGGTGTACCCTGTATGAACTCTTTGAAGATGGTCTAACATTTTTTGAGAGTTAATTTTGACTACTCTCATCAAAAGTATGATTTATTAGTATAATTTACAATCACGTGTTTTTGATAGGTACACACCAAGAAACTGTTATTTCTTTCGCTTGGTTCATAATTTGGGGATTTCTCTGACAATTATAGAAGTAATTACACTTGCGAATTTTAGTCAGTTACCGTAGTATTTGATGTTTCGATCTTTTCTTTAAATCACCTCTTCGTTTTGTTTCGTTTTTTTCCTTTTTTTAAATTATTTATATATTTAACAATTATTCCACGAGCGCGCGTTGGATATGAGATGATAGAATAATCATCTCGTATCCAACAAGCGCTCGTGGAATAATTGCTTTATTAAAATTTCAGAGCTGAACAAAAGAGAAATTTCTAAAATCATAACATTTTAGTAACATTTATTAACATTTTATTTTAACATTTTATATAAACCGTGAGGAGCAGTTTATATAGCGTCATATAAGGAACCGCTTGACCAATCAGATTGCCGGAAACTCTTTGCTCAGCTCTGAAATTATACTAAATATATATTCATACATACATACATACATTTACTTGAGAAGTAGGTTTTAAAATATGCAACTGTACTGCTGATTTCGACCTACTACTACTAAGTCTAATAAGGAGAACAGAAATTTACAATACAATTGTCATAAAGCTAAAAGTAGTATACAATAGTAGTTAGAATAGGGATCAAATAATTCAAAAGTATCAAAATTCATGTTTTTTTTTTATAATTTACAGAGCATTCCTTTTGGAAGCTGACATCGTCTTAATAGAATGGGTATAAAGGGATAAAATGTAGGCCTTATGATAGAAAACCTCTTGCTAATAACCCACAGATCAGATAGGTTTCAGTGACAATTAATATTCATTTGTGAGTCTGTGGCTTGAAAATAATTGGTTGTCATGTCCTATTTTAAGTCTCAATCACAGGTTCCTTTCCAAATTGTGAGATTCTGGTCAAGAGAACAAATAAGCAAAGAACAAATGATAGGAAGTTTGCAAAAAGATACCCAAGTGAAACATTGCAAAACACTTGGTCGAACTGTTTATTAATTTATTAATTATTTATTAATTGTTTATTAATTTATTAATTGTATTTTAATTTATTGTTTATTAATTTATTGATTGTTTATTAATTTATTGAACTTTTCCTATTTGTAGCATTGTGATTGAGGCATTGAAAGGCGTAGAGACTGATAGGCGTTGCTTCCGAATGATTGGTGGAGTATTGGTGGAGAGAACGGTCAAGGATGTTCTACCAGCACTAGAAAACAACAAAGAACAGGTCAGAACATTTTCCTGCAGAACTAGAAGAGAACGCACTTGAAATAGTTTGTTTACAGAATCATGGATGCCGAGTAGTTTGGTGACTCTTCTCAAATACCATGCCAGTTAGTTTTAAGGCACCTCCTTCAGTTTCATCAGGTTTACCCAAAAGTTTGGTAGTACCCATATTGCTCCTGGATGGAGAGAGACACCAAAAGTAAATTTTTTCCTGAATCACACAGCTCAGTAATCCCCGTAACTAGGAGTCTTGAGCAGATTTTTTGTTTCTTAGTTCAGCACTCACTTTGTTCCTCTGGATTTTATCAGTCTGAGTACAGTGACAGTATTATTTAGCAAGAGCAAGCTTTAAGCAAACTTCATATCTCTTTCTAACTTTGTCTTCCCCAATTCATGCCTTATGTTAAATTATTTTTGTGAAAATCATGCAAGCTATTCATTTTAACAGGAAGCAAGAGAACCAGTAACTTTCAATGCGGATAAGATGCATAATAAAATATTTGTATAGTGTGGGTTTAAGGACTTTGAGAAATGATTTCTGGTTAAGCAGAATGTATCCAAATTTGTAAATAAATTTACATTGAAAGCAGCAGCAGTGAAATGGAAATTGGTGTTGAGTCATTGGCAGGTTTCAACACAGTCTAAAGGAATTAAAAAAAATTCAACTTCACTACACTACAGTCAAGAACAACAGATCACAAATACAGAGAGTTTGGCAAAAATTTAAATTTTAAATTTTAGGGCGTAGTACAGTAAGAGTGTGAGCAATCCACATGCCATTAAGATTTTGGAATAAAATTAAATGGTTATTCCTTCACTCTGGTATTCATCTTCAGATATCAGGCGTCATTAACAAGTTAAAAGACACTCTTGCTGCTAAAGAAAAAGAACTTACAGCATTTAAAGACAAACACAACATCCATGTCAAGGGAGAGAGAGAAAGTCAAGCAGAGGATTCAGTTCAGACAGCTGATAAGACCTCAGGAGTTCTGGTGGCACAGGACAATTCATAAGATTTAGGAACAATATTTATTGATGCTCCAACACACGGAAAGCTTCAGTGGACGTGCTGACCAGTGTAGGAAGCATTTAACAGACCACTTTTGTAAATGGCTGCCAGATTAATATTCTTTTGTTTAAATTTAAATTAGCCCTAGTGGCCTCGTTCTCCAGTGCAAAACTCAAAAGAATACATTATCTCAAGTGAGGCCAGTAGGGCTAATTTAAAGTTAAACAAAAGTATATTTATATGGCAGCCATTTATGAAAGTGGTCTATACACTGACTCAAATGAAACCTTCAAGATTGCATCAAAAGATTCCCTCCCTAAGTTTAAATGTTATCATAGCTTTCATCTTGGAAACTTTTTTGAACAAACAGATTTTTTTTTTCTTACAGTGAGTACAACACAAATTATGTTATTGAGAAGATTGAAGGACATTGCCACCTAGTGAACATTTTACCTATAGTTTTCAAGTCAGCAGCTTTATAATAGATTAGAAATTCTAATATAGGTGTGAGTCACAGAAAAAATGGGCACATGTACATGACACAAATGAATGTAAATTAATATCTTTCCACAACCTTTATTTCATCTGCAGACTTAAGTTCTGGTCTTGTGTCTTTCAAAGTCAATAATTAAAAATAACCATCATTTTGGACCCTACCAAGTGTAAAAATATTCTTGTCTTCTTGGTTTTCTCTTTTTAAGCTTCTTATTCAAGTCAATTTCAAGGAGATACTAAAATGTTTGCACATAGTAAAATAAAGTGTGGCCTGGGCTGTTTGTATTGCTAAAGTGAATCTGTACTTACGTGAGGAACACAAGGTTTTATCCCATGTATAATAAGAGTTATGAATAACTAATTTTACATAACTTAAAACTCTCCAGAATAGTATAAAGATTATAAACTGATCTATCCATTTGCCACTAATCATTCAAAAATATTTTTAAAACAGTCTTTTAAAAAACAGATGTTCTGTTTGCAGAAAGACAACAAAAAATGCATTTATGTTCTTTATGTGCAATTGATGCTGTTAAAGCTAATGGAATCCCACTCAAAGTGGCACATGTTTGATTTTTTTTTTCTTTTTCAATTCATTACTTCCCAAGGATGGCATTTATATGAGAGCACTAAGTAGTTGTGTAAGTACAATAATTTTCTTGCCAAAAATAACAGCAGCCCAACAGGGCTTGACACTAACTTTTCAACTTACCAGCCAAGTGGCTAGTGACAACTTAGATGTCACGACAATTTCAGTTTGTTTATCAGCCAAACTGGCTAGTGGAGATTGAAAACCACTAACCAAAACTGAATTTCTATTAGTCTGTAGCTCGTTGGCTACCATTAATGTCGAGCCCTGGAGTAAGCTTTGTAAGATTACCAAAGAGAAGATGTTTAGTAGGGTACATGCATAAAATAAATATCCTGTAAGTTTTCATTTTAAAATTCTGCCCAACTTGATACTTTGAGAGTTTCAGTTCACATTAAATTATTGTCTAATCAAAAGAAATCTAAGGCCTTAGGCCTTTTTGCAATTTTGGGTTGTTTCTTTTTCTGCTGGAGTTGGCCAGAACCTGTGGATGCCTCAGCAGTTTTGTTGATAACTACAGGTGTTCTTTGAAGTTTAGGTGGTGACTTAAGTAATCCTTGGGGTGGTGTCTTCCCTGCATCGAATGGAATGCTTGGGCTCTCCTTCAAACTACGTTTATAATCTGTTAAGAAAAAAAGGCACAAAATTAAAGTTTAGACAGGTGTTTTTTGTTAGTGGGCTTAAATGCTGCCCCCCTCCCTGGTGGCAAAGGGTGGGCCTGATCCTGTTTCACAAACAAATTTTAGAAAAATTTGTATGCCACAGATATAAAAGGGAAAACTATGTTCAAGATTTCCTTGCAAACGAGTTCTTGTGTTCATGACAGGCAAACTTGACCAGGTAGTACCCTGGATATTACCTTTTTGCTGCCTTCCAACTGGTCAAAGGTCTTTTGCTTCTAGAGGAGCAAAACTGTAGAACTCATTAAGCAGCGAACTTACATTTTTTAAAATGTCCCAAGAAATTTATGCATCAACTTACTAAGCTGCTATTAGGTTAACTTCATTATTCAATATTTCCATTTTTCTGATATTTGTATTTAGCTGTAACTATGGTTTTATATTCTTTAATTTTAGTTTTATTTCTTTTCACCATTTTTATTGATGCTGAAAAACCCATTCAGGGAGCTTCAATAAAGATCTGTACCTGTATCTGTATCTGCAAGAATTCAGGGAAACCTTAAGGTTTTCACCAAATGAAAGGAAAAATTCACGACTTGCATATACTTCAAGAGGCAAATCATGCATCACCCAGGTTCATACATTCACTTCTCACAGTTACATAATTTTGGCCTTTATCACATGTCAGGTACAAACAAAACTTTTGCCACCCTCTCTCAAGGCAGATAAGTGCGGTGTTGAACATTAAATCAAATGCTACCCAAACTATAACTACCCTGAGCTACTTACATCATTTCATTGCCAATAATTGAACTGAACAAGGAATAGTTTGTTCTGATTTGAGAAAGGACCCTAACTTTTCAAGCTTATTTTGCACTGACCTTGTGTTGTGTGTGAAGTGTTTTTTGACATCTCTATTCTGACTCTTTTCTGTGTTCCCTTTGAAGGTTCTGATCCTGGTAGTTGAAACTACACAAAATATTACGTATAATTTTACATACACTTGTAACGAGTACAGAGAAATCATCTCATAACTTGTTTATTAACCCTTTAACTCCCATGAGTGACCAAGGCAGAATTTCTCCTTACAACACCAATACATTGCCAAGCAGACAAGTAATGAGAATAAAGAAAAATATCATTTAGGGGATTTTAGGTTGATCTAATTCAAAATTCTCCCAACTAACATCATAAGAACTACATGGCAGATAGTAAGGAGAATCACACAAGAGATCTTGGTAGAAAAAGGGTTAAAAATTAGATGTTGCAAAAATGTAACATTTAAATGAAATTGTATGATGTATTACACAACAATTATGACTTTCTGATTGTCTAGAGGGTTCCTTGGAGAGAAGACCAAGCACTGTAGAGCGCTGTTGCAAGATGTACAGCTACAAGTTGCAAAAAGGCCAATAAAAAATAACTACCTTTGCAAAATTGACTGCGGTAGTTTATTTAATACATTTATACATGATAATTTCACTGCTCTTTTACACTAATGAAAAATTAATTGTTTAACACTAGCTCCCAACCTTCATATTAGTTTTCTTTCTTCGTTCTGTGCTTGGTATTTTTGCACTGAATCTTCGAACAAATGCTGGTGGAGTGGAATTCTTCTGAAATTTTGCAAAGGGCTCCTCGCCATGACCATTGGCTTCATGCAAAACCTTCTTTTTCACAGTTCTTGATGAGGTTTGATCATTTTTATCTGTTGAATGTATTGTGTCACCATTTACAGCTGAAGTAGTATCATCACTTGTGTCATTAACTAATTCTTCACCATTTTCATTGAAACTGTTAGTTTCAGTTTCTCTGAACACAGTTCTTTTGTCATTCTCAAGCAGAGATTTCTTCTTCTTCTTCCTCGTATTCTTGGGCTCAGTGTTTTGCTGTGTATGAATTTCTTCTTCTTCTTCAAATGACAACTCAACATGACCTTCACTATCTTGCCCATTCTTTCTTTTTCTCTTTCCCTCTTTCTTATCATCGATCATAGCATATTCATTGCTATGTTTATCCAGTTCCTCTTCTTTTTTATCAGTAGTAACTTTAATCTTTTTATTCTTCTGTTTTGGTTTCTTGGTGTGACTGTGGTCTCTATGATTGTCTAATGACTCTCGCTCCTCAGTCTTTCTCTTTGATCCAACAGGGAACCCATTTGGGATTCTGTCTTCTTGCACAGGAGTCTCCACATGCTCTCCTTCTGTCAGAGGGGTAAACATTGTCAAAGAAATAAGGCCAAGTTTCTCAAAGTACACAAAGTTATACAGTGGAATCCCGATTTCTCGAACCCTCGGTTTCTCAAACCTCTTGATATCTCAAACCAAACCCTGTTTCCCTTGGATTTGCTTCACTTGTAATTTCACCCCCAATTTCTTGAACTCCCGATTTCTCAAACCAATTTGCGTTTCCCCTGGAGGTTCAAGATATCAGGATTCCACTGTAGGTTCAAACAATACAGAAACAATAAAACTACTTCCTAACATAAAGGCCTGTGCTCTTCTTGCCCTTTACATTTTACAGTTCAAGAATATGTGCATTTAACCCATTAAACCCCAGCATCAATAAGCATATTCTCCATACTGTTCTCTATTACATTTCTAAGATGCTTACAAGGGGAATTTGCCTAACAATCAATAACTTCTTTTGTTGGTGATCATTTCCTTTATTCTCCTGACCTTACTGTGTGACTCATGTGTGATATTGTTGGGAGAAATAAGATGCTGGTCACTCTTAGGGGGTCAAAGAGGGGGGCTTATAAGAGGGGGGGCTTATAAGAGGGGGGCTTATAAGAGGGGGGCTTATAAGAGGGGGGCTTATAAGAGGGGGGCTTATAAGAGGAGGGCTTATTAGAGGGGGGTGGCTTAAAAGAGGGGGGGCTCAAGAGAGGATTTACAGTACTTGTGTAACTCTTGCTTGTTAAGTGGAGACAGAGAGATAACAGTTGCTTGCTGGAATATTTAACAGCAGGCAAGATAATTCGACCACACGTGAAAGAATCCCTCGCAATGAACCACAGACAATAGAGAGGTCTCATTTAATAGACAAGTGCTAATTACCTGTTGATCCCTTCCTCAGACTGTAAACAGATTAAAATAAATTAATAAGTAATCAAATAAATGAAGCATTACAAAATGAAATAATATATAGATACACAAAAGAAGTGAATTAACTGGTACAGTAATGTTGTAACCTTTCCTTTTAATATCAACATATTTCAGGTACCCAGAAACAGTTGACAAAAAAAGCTACTGTAATTTCAAAGGAATTGCATGGCAGCTAGAAGAGGGACATTAAAAGTCAAAGATTCATGAAAAATGAATGAAAAAGGGGAAAAGAAGCTTTATTTTCTCGTGCTTATGGTCATGAGTTGACTGCTTGGGCACCAGAAAAGAAAACTATGTATAAATGAACTTCTCATTCCCAAAAGTAATCAATATGTTACTTCTTACAATAACAATACAATTTTGAAGCAGAAAGGAGAAGAGAAAATATAGAAATACCTAACAAGGGACTATAGCTTGATTTAACTTCAAATTCTCAGGGCTAAAATCAAAAGAAATGTGTGGCAGTCAATTATCAGGAATTGACAATGAGATATTGGGAATGAAAAGTTCCTGAATTTCTTTGCCAAGTTGAACCCTCATTTCATATCTAGTGTCCTTGTTAACTGATTGGTAACAAGAACATTTTTTGGATAGGGTGTATACCGGTGATTACAACCAAAAACTGAAGTCTCCTTTGATTACTGATTGATCACTCATTCATCAAAATTTAGTAAGTCTTACCGTTTAGCCCAGTTAAATAATTGATTCCTGTTCCTACCGAGGATATTTCTGTCACTTGCTAAGGAAAATAATCGGTCAGCTGCTGAAGCAAAATCAACCTTGAAAATAAGGAAAAAATTGTCAATATTCATCTTGTTAAAATCAACCAAACAAACAAATTCAAGTATTTTCTTGTAGTAAAAATTTTCCCCTATATCTAAAATGAATAGTTGAAAATGTCCTAAAAATTTTTCAAAAACAATTTTATAGCAGAGTTAGTCTGACCTTAATTTTAGAATTCTGCTGCTCCTCTGAGTCACCTGTCTGTTGTTGAACAAGGTGTTCAAACAGACTCTTTCCCACAGCACTAGTAACAGTTTTGCTGGAATAAAACCAAATCTCATAGTTTAAGTACAGCTTCAAGAAGAATAAATGGGCACACACAAGTAGATAGGTAGTTGGAAATAGACCAGTGGATGATCACACCAATTGAATTCCAGTTTCTGTAGGATCAACTACCTTTATGGGGTATTCCTGATCATTCTCAAATGCCAGTCAACTGTGTTGATTTCTACGTATGATGCACGATCCTTCACAGTAGATAGCACTATTTAAGCAATAGCGAAAATCAGACCTGAAAAAAATCAGGCCTGTACGGGACTCGAACCACTGACCTCTGCGATACTAGTGCAACGCTCTACCAATTGAGCTAACAAGCCAACTGGGAGCAGGCCGTTAAGTTGATTCGCATCATACGTATCTAATACCACAGTTCAAAATATATGATCTTTATATATTCATTGTATCTCATTTGTGTTGATTTCTGTTCACTTAGATGCAACTGTTACAGTAAAATTCTTACTTGCTTGAGTGCGTTGCAAACAGGAACAAAGGATCCAAGAGTTTTAGCACTGCACTAGCAGAAGCCTGTAACAGTATAGGAGAGAAATTCTAGTCAGAAAAAAATACACAAAGTAAAATTAATACGTAACAGGTTACAACAACACAAACAGTTTGTTAATTAACACCATCATGGCATTTTACCTCATCATCAAGAACACTTGTAAGTTCAGGGAGATACACTGACACCATGTGAAGTCGAATTCCATCTGGAACCTGGATTTCACAACAAAAAAATTTATCACTACGAATGAGGTACACGGTACCTTTTTAATCAGAAAAAGAACTCCCTTGGTAATGCATGAAGTTTGTAAATTTCACTGATGAATATACAATAAAAAATAGGGGAGCAGGGTTGGCGTAGTGGTGAGAGTGCTCGCCTCCCACAATGTGTCCCGGGTTCGATTCCCGGACCCGGCGTCATAAGTGGATCGAGTTTGTTGGTTCTCTACTCAGCTCTGACAGATTTTTCTCCGGGTACTCTGGTTTTCCCCTCTCCTCAAAAACCATCATCATTTGAATTGATCTAATTTAGAATTTATTTGGATTTACACACGACCCCACAAGCTGTTCAGCTTTAAACATTATCGTGTCTAAATAAAGGTGTTAATTATTATTATTATTATTATTATTATTAATATTATTATTATTATTATTATTATTATTATGTGGGCTTGTATTGATAAGGTTAAGATGTGTGGATCCCATCTCCAGCATGCAATTGACTCAGTGTGCATACTTCATTGAAATATAACAGACCTCTCAGGGCTTGACAATAACTTTTTAACTTACTAGCCAAGTGGCTTATGACAACTAAGGTGTTACAACAAGTTCAGTTTGTTTACTAGCCAAACTGGCTAGTGGAAAGGTCTGCAGCTAGTAGGCGGCCCTTTGTTCCCCAGGGAATCAAGAGGCATAACCAAGCAGCTAGTTGGCTACTGTTAGTGTCCAGCCCTGCCGCTCTAAACATGTTCTAATTCACGTTGAATAAAGGTAAAGGATAGTGTTAGCTAATCAGCAAGATCAGATCAGATCAGATCAGATCTTCCAGTCAGATCTTATAAAGTTCCAGTAGCATTAAGTTGCTTAACCCTATACACCCTAACATCAGTATGCATATTCTCCATACTGTTCTCCATACATTTCCTAGGGTGCTTGCAAGGAAAATTTGTTTAACAATCAAGAGCTTCTTTAGTTGGTGATTATTTCCTTTATTCTCATGACTTTAATGTTTGATTCAGGGTGATATTCAGGGTTCTCATTTAGTGCTAGCCGCCAGCTCAAGAACCGGCTACTTTGATTTTTGAGCCACCTACCTTTTGTGAAATAATTTATGTGTGAGTGGTAAAGAGTAATGAAAATAAATTGGTGTCAACTGTCTGCTTCATGAAGGAAGCCATCTACTCCCTAAGTTAATGAGAACCCTGGATATTGTAAGGAGAAATTAGATGCTGGTCACTCTTTAAACAATTAAGAGTATCAACACTCCTTTCTGCACTGTATAACGTTCCAGTCCATTACAGGTTACCCCCAGCACTTCAACAAATTTCCCTGGCAATTTTTTGGACACCCATGGTATGGAAAGAGGTACTATGACGGTGAAGTACCTCTCCCCCCACCCCACCCCCAATAACACAACACAATGATCCCATCAGAGCTAGAAAGCTGACGTTACAGTCTGCAGTCTAGTGCATCAAATACCACGCCATTTTGTCTCTCTATTGTGAATTGATAAATAATCACTTACCTTCAAACTGATAGGATTCATTGGCTCCTCATTAAGAATATGAACAACATCACAGACTAACCTGAGAAAATAAAAATGAATAAAATTCAAACATTACAAATTAAATGTTCCTCAGCTGGACAGTAGATGGATAGATGGCAAAAAAAAAATTTGAAAAACTTGCCTTTCCTCCCAACCAGTTTTTTTCAGAAAATTGAAAGTCTCTTTCACAAAGAAACGAAGAAGCTGGGGAAAAAAGTTTGATTGTCATCTTAACTGAGTACCAAAGAGAACTCAAAGTGGACAAGAAAAGAAAAAAAAAAAAAAAACAGTAACACACACTCACTGAAGTAGTAAAGATGGTGGAGTTCTAGATCATTTAAAGATCATCATGACAAAAATCCATACAATCCCATACTACTATTAGCACTCAATCAACAACTGTATTAATTATATACTCTTTTTTCTTTAGAACTACAGTATATGCTATTACCCAGGCACCCAATTACACAAAACGAAACCATCACTTTCTCTAAATTATCATTATCCACCCATGCTTGCAGTGAAAGCTATGGTTGATCAGGAAAAAGGACAACCAAGCTTCTCTCTGTCTCTCTCTCATAGCAAAATCTTTTTTTTTAACATCTATGAACAGTTTGATAACACTTCTCTACTGTCTATTGAAAATTGTTCTATAAAACTATTTTATCAATGACTAACCATGTAAAACTTATCCAATCGAAGACGATCTATCCCATGCCATTCTCTTTGCATTGTTTTAAAAAATGCTTTGATAAAAAAGACAGCTAAAAAGTAACAATCAAAGTAGCAGACTATGTGAGCAGCATTCAGTAATTTAAAACAATTTTACACACTAGTTCTGAAGGCCAACACACTACTGACTTGCCTGCACTCTGCTTAACACATCTCTTGAGTATGATTAAAACTGTATCACTAAATTAAACAATTTATCATATAAGGGGCAAAATTACTGAATTGTGATTGGTCAAGACAGAGGGCATTTTTTCTTAATTTTTGTAATTGCCCCAGGCAAAATTACTTGAAAATGATTGGCTGAAAATCGCTTAGCAATGGCTGCCAAGGTAAAGAAATTTCTTCTAGTTGTTTTGTAACAATGGCGTCGCGTTTTTCGCGAGATCAGTAAGAAAACATTTTGCCCCTTATATTATAAACAAGTAATCACATGGTTCCTCATAAAATTAAGGATTAATATCACTTGTGTTTTCATAAGTTGCAGAAATTGCCCTCATCCCTGCGCGACTCAGGTAATTTCAGCAACTTCCGAAAACACGCGTGATATTAATCCTTAATTTTACTGCGCAACTCGACAATTTCAGCAACTTCCGAAAACACGCGTGATATTAATCCTTAATTTTACTCAGCCCCATGCAATTACTAACTATACTTTCTATCAGTTTAACCCTTTAAATCCCAAGATCTGATTATCAACTCTCCCCTCTAGCTGCTACACATTTCCTTCAAGGCTGTAGTCTAGCAGCATCCGGTGACCCCTGGCGCCTTACTTTTGCTCTTGGGCGACTCAGAAATTTTAGTTTTTTCATACAAAGCATATGCTGGGCACCCTGGATTTCACAGTTTCAGAGCACTGGGCTCCATTCAATTTTTCCTTAGAGCACAGCCTTGTCCTTACAAATAGGTTAAGAGAATTTGGTGTTCAATCAAGGTAACAACTTCTACCAGATAAGTTTGAGTATTCTCATTACCTGTTTGCTGGATAATGTACGGATATTATAGGGAGAAATACATGTTAATCATTTCTGGAAGTTTAAGGGTTACAGTGTAACTGCATTGTAAATCATGTAGGATGTTGGGAGAACTTGAAAAAAGTTTGTTAACAAGCCAGAGGCGAGTGGTTTACAGACTTTTCCAGAAACCATTATAAGCTAAAAAACACATAAACATTACCTGATTGCTCATTCCTAAAACTGAATATGAGTTGGGAAATATTTAAAGCCAGCTCTTCCTACCAAAAGATGTAAAGCTCAGAATTAATAATGAGGGGGCTTCTATAAACATTTTCAATAATAGCTGCAAAGTTTGCTGTTTTAGAGAAATTATGTGTGTAAACACTGCAAGAGGAGAAAGAATGAGAGAAGATAATGGTACACTGCAGTCCAAGGGGTTTGGCATGCTCATTACACACCAGGAGACAAAAAATTTGCAGTTGGCTACCAATGGGATTGATTCTCAATGTGGATCAACAGTAGAAGTTAACAGGTAAAGCACTGATGCAATGTTCTTAAGTTTATTAAATCAGATCATAATAAAAATACCTGAATGAGAGGCTTGTCTGACATCCACATGCAGTAAAATAGCCCTTTCCATATTTTAAGTAAATCTACCTCACAAAAACCTTGAAAGAAAAAATTAATTATTCCTGGCGATGTATTTAGTTACAAAAAAATATGATCTTGGATTAAATAATACAGTAAACTTGATTATTTCACTACACTATAAATAATGTAGACAGCAGCATAGTGGGGTGTCACAAAAACTCAGACCTCAGACCTCGAAAACTCAGACTGCGAAAATCCAAGAGATAAACTCGACTCATGATCACTCCTTGTAATGCCACATACATTTTGACCTTTTGGGTCCTGATCCAACAAGCAGCAAAAACAAGGCCACAAGTTGCACGTTTTGCGAACTTGTCCAATCGTTGAGTATTAAAACATTTTAGAGTGACACAAGACTTCATTTAGCTTAGATTTCCTCCATTTTTCCCGTTAATTTTGAGCATTTCATTCACAGTTAACTGGATCAAATGCGCTCGCTCCAACACCAAAGTATTAAAATGTGGCGTGATTTTGACGAGCCGATAGGGACATTAGTTTACTTTTTTGTACTTTGTCGCACAGATCCTTGTTGTCGCTCAGTTAAAATTCTTAAATATTTCACGATACAAACAGAGACTCAGCCAACCAGTCCAAAAACGAAGACAATTTTGCGACCCTTGGGCTAGAGTTCTTAAATGAGACAGAAAAAAGAGAAAAATAATGGGAAATAAGACTCGGCATCAGCGCCGTCACGATTCGCTTCACTGAACAATCACTCTTGATATTGTTGTCCGTCTTTCACGTCGGATTGCATTGGTTACATTATTCCACCAGCTATGTTATAAAACAATTGGTTTATGCTTTATACTGTGCACTATTGAATTATAGAGCACTTTGGAAGTTTGGAGAGCACTTCGAGGGGTCTGTGTTTTCGGGGTCTAACACCGAAAACTCAGACCCCAAAAACTCAGACCCCTTGAAGTGCTCTTCAAACTTTCCAAGTGCTCCATAACTCGACAGTGCACAGCTAAAAGCATGAACCAATTGTTTTATAACAGAGCCGGTGGAATAATGCAACAAGTCCGACGCGAAAGATGAACAACAATATCAAGAGTGATTGTTCTGTGAAGCGAATTGTGACGGCGATGATGCCGAGTCTTCTTGGCAGAGTCTCTGTTTGTATCCATTACTATCGCGAAATATTTAAGAATTTTAACAGAGCGACAACTAGGATTTGTGCGACGAAGTACAAAAAAGTAAACAAACGTCCCTATCGGCTCGTCAAAATCACGCCACATTTTAACACTTTGGTGTTAGAGCGAGCGCATTTGATCCAGTTAACTGTGAATGAAATGCTCAAAATCAACGGGAAAAATGGAGAAAATCTGAGCTAAATGAAGTCTTGTGTCACTCTAAAACGTTTTAATTTTCAACGATTGGACAAGTTCGCAAAACGTGCAACTTGTGGCCTTGTTTTTGCTGCTTGTTGGATCAGGACCCAAAAGGTCAAAATATACGCGGTATTACCAGGAGTGATCATGAGTCGAGTTTATCTCTTGGATTTTAGAGGGGTCTAAGTTTTCGGGGTCTGAGTTTTCGGGGCCTGAGGTCTGACGTCTGAGTTCTCGGGGTCTGAGTTTTCGTAACACCCCAGCAAAGTGTCCTCTCTGAAAAACATCCATGCTTTGAAGTTGCGCGAGATTTTCGTAGATTTGTTCAAGTCTCCCAAAGCAATTTGTCAACAACTTACCAGGGCCATCCTTTGGTCGGCTCCTAATCCAAGCCTTGAGTTTATTCACGGCTTTATCTCTGATTTTCTTATCGTTATTCGCTAGTTTCTTCGCAAAATGCTCTTCTGCTCCTCCAGCCGCCATGTTGGATTTATGGACCACGTGCTGCTCAAGCGCATATAATTCTTGGAGAAACCGCGGATTGCCGTTTAGCGAAAATACCGCTGTTGTGTAAGCGTCTTGAAAAAGTTGATGAGTTAACGATATTTTAAGAAAGTAAAGACAAATTTCATAAGATGAGAAAGAAGACGAAAAGGACAGAGGAAAAAAATAAACAAATGCTTGTCAGACAACTCTTTTAACAAATTCAACACGTCTGATTCAGTGTAAACGAAAATTTATCGGACTTTTGATATAGAAACCCTAGAATTTGATTAATTATTTCAAGGAAAGTATCAGCTCTAATCGTGTCAATAACAAATACCTTAACCTGATTGGTTAGTAAGCTGCTTCAGGATCAATTCACAGATTTGACTACGAGCGACTAAAAGAAAGGGACCGAACCGAAGGCGTGTGATTTACAAACTTCATATCAAGCGTGATCTAACTTTTCTCGTGTTCTCAAAACATTGTGTCTTGGCCCTTACACATTGTGCTGGTAAAAGTAGCATATCATGATGCTACTAGCATTTCTTGATATTTTTTAAAATCATACTGAAAAATTATGCTCGTTTTAGAAAATTATGCCACTTTTTCTTAAAGTATGCTTCTCAAAAAAAAAAAAACACAAAACAAATCATATATATCTATTGTTAGTATATACTAAAACAGTGGATAGCGTTGAAGGCGCGCTCTGATTGGCTAGTCAAACTCCGAATATCCTTCGCTATTTACCTCCAAGCAACTCGAGAAAAAATGGCGTCCCGGTTTGCATCCGTGACAAGCGAAGAAATCACTCAAATTAACGACGGTGGTGTATATTATCTCACTGTTTTAGTATATACTAAAACAACTATTCACCTCAGTGTCCGTGGTTAGCGGTGGATATTTACCTCGCCCCTTTGCGGCTCGGTAAATATCCACCACTAACCACCTCCACTTCGGTGAATAGTTGTTAATTATAAAGCATAACTTACAGCTTCTTTATTTTGAGTTACACACTTGCCCTGATACATCAAAATTAACTACCAGACGAGAAGCGGTGACCTGATGGGTCAAATGTACAATGTTTACATCGCGTTTCTCTTCGACAACATTTTGTTGCCTGTGAATGCAGGAAATGGGACCGACGCGGTCTTTACCTCTGGAGTGCCTAGTCCCTTAGACGACGAACGACATTGTATTGCAATTCAGTGCGGTAACCGACTTCCCCCACGACTTAACACAATTGAAAATATACTTAACCATGGACTAAACGTGATAATAATCAATCTTAGAGACCTGAAAAGTCATGACTCTGGTAATATTCCATTTATTAAAGTTAAATATATGCTGATTATGCTAGCAGCTACTTTTATAAAAAGAGCCCAAGCTATATTATGCTCGTTTTTCCAAATTTTTCCAAAAATTAGGTTAGAACAAACTATAATGGCCTATCATGTACCTATCAGCAATTCCGTCGCTGGTCAATCGACAGAAAGTGCGATTTATGAACAATCTCAGAGGTTCGTTTTTCTCGTGTAATGAGTTTCTTTGAGGAATATATATTTGATTTTCATACGCGTTCAATATTGGAAAATCCAGTTTGAAACAGTACTCTTAAGATTATTTTTCTTCCTGATGATTTTTTTTATCCCGGTTGCAATTTTCGAAAAACATCCATAAGTAAAGGCTATCCTGAATATCTGCATTACTTTAGTCAAACGTGCTCTGTTGATAATTTCATGCAGTGAACGTGACGCAGTTTATCGTTATCTCGGTGGGACCGGATAAGCGATTTCTCTCTATATCAAACATCATTTAACGCCAAATGTAAACAGTACAGTTATCAAACTGCTTTAATCTAATCACTCATGCCTCCATCTACATGACTCTGATGAAAATAGAAATCAAACGGTAGAATCACAGTGTCGAATATACATATATTTTTACATTGGCGGTGAGTGCATGACTGATTTTTACTATACAAGGTCTAATGCTATGTGAGTTAGTTTTACCGTCATGACGTACTGTGAAATAAATGTTGTTGTGATACAAATATGGCAAAAGATGGTGATTTTCAATCTGAATGAGCTTGAATGCAGCAATTAACAGTGGTGGGAAATTTTTGTGTTTGTTGTCACGATCGATCAAAGTTTGAAAAAAGCTTAGCAAAATATACCTATACCAAACAAATAAGGTAAAAACGCCGCTTCAAAAAGTATAGATTACGATATTGAAAATAATAACAGTACTAAAAAAAAATTACAAAAAACATTCCCAATTTAACTGCATGATCCGTAAAAACATCGAGTTCACACGAACCAATTTCCCTGATGAAATCTCGTATATTTCTATTAAAACTTCTCCGGAATTTTCTCTCAGCTGTGAGAATCTTAATTAAGTATAAGAAGGCCGTTGTATTCAGCCGAAACAAAGAGATCCAGACAGGATTAAAAAAAAAAATTCTTGTTTTTCTTCATTTGTGTTCATGCATTTAGCTTTCTTGAGGGTTTTAATGGGGTGATGGCTTTTACGGTTAACAGTTCAAATTTTGCCCATTTTACGGCTAACATTTAATTTCTTTCCGTTTAAGGCTGACAGAAATGTCAAATATAAATTTCGACCATTTTAAAAAGTTAGCAATTAATTTTCATATTTTCATTTTAAAATGTCTCCGATGCCAAGATAAAATATATAACTGTCGTAATAACATTAGCTACATGACAGCACACTTAACAGAGAGAGTCTAAGACACTTTCAAAATGACACATCGTAGATGTGAAAATATTTTACGCTCAATTTTTTTTACGAAGAACGGTTACAATTTGTCAACTTTTACTCCTAACAACTAAACTTTTAGGCTCTCCTACCCCATTAAATCTCATTGAGACCCTCAAATATAATCTTCCGGTGCCAGAGCATTGACGCAGGTCTGCTTTTCAGATAAAAAAAACTTTTAAAATGTAGTAGTTCCTTTCGTTTTTGAAACTGTAACGCCAATCGCGTTGGGTGAGACGGAAATCACCCTGGTTTCTTGTCGTGGGCGCCTATGGTATAAAGCCGTCAAGCTTACGGAAGATGATTGGCTTTGTTGACGTTGTGTTGGTTGTGTGCAAGCGGCACTGAATAACACGAAAGAGAGAAACAACTCCAAAACTCTCGTGGCAAAATTGAAGATCAACCAAGGCCAGGCTTCAACATAAATGGCGTCCGAGAAAACCCCGTAGACTCCAGTCATGGAGTAAATTTGAAGTACACAGAGTGTAACGCCTCCAAGAACGGCCGCGACGCAAGTTTTAAGAATGGAGCGAGTTCGTTTTCCGCGCGGATTACTTTTCGAAACGGTCCACGCAAAATTTTGTAGACTTTTTTCCACTCTTCCTTGAAAATTTGCCGCACTGAAATTTTTCCAAAGTAGGTATACGATGAAGGAGTAAAAGAACGAGAGCAATAAGCTGAGAAGCACATAAACCAGTTGGCAGATAAAAGTTAGTGCGTTCATATTCGGTACATAGAGCAGAGTTACTTCAGTAACTAGCTGGAGTGAAAAATAGGGAACTGTAATAATTAAAGTGTTTTTTGTTGTATACCACACCATGAATCGTTCTCTTAGCACAAATATGTTCTTCAACACCAAAAATATGAGTGTATAGGCCGTGATGATGCAAGGGTTGCCTAAACTCCACAACAAGTTTACAACTGCTTTTGGCAAAATTTGTTTCGTACTGTATGCATCAATGAACAGATATAAACAGCGCGACAAGCCAAACATAAAAAGCAAGACTAACACTATCAAAGAAGCCTTTTTGGGTCTTCTACTTCTGTTTGACGACAGAGCTCCCAGAATAAGGGCTGTGGTTAGAATCATAAGCATTCCGAATGCAGCACCCAGTCCGTATTGGTAGATTTTCCAAGCAACACCCCAGGTCGGTATCGCTGTATGCCATTCTGGAAGAGGTTCTCCAAAGCTTTCCGTAGGAGGGGCTTTCGTGGCCTCTGCTTCAGGTCCAGCATACAACAGAGCACGCTGATGCTGTTTGGAAATCATTCTCTGTCTGTTTTCTTTTTTTTCCTGAGAATTCAAATCAAAAAGTAAACGCAATAAAGCGTATCGTCAATTGCGAAAAACGAGAAACAGTCCGATTCTTGTTGAATGTAGTTAAGCACGAAGAAGCCACTTTAAATATTGATCTCTGACGTTAAAACTTCCGGTTTTTTTCCTCTATTTATTGCTGGACATAAAAGAAAAAATAAAAACGTCATTTTGATTAAAAAACAATACAAAACAACAAAAGGGAGAATACAAATGTTCTCTGATAGAATCCGGCACGTTTAATTACCGAAACAAGACGTCTTGCACACAATGACGTAAGCATAAAACTATCACACCATCGAAGGCTATCTTTTCGAGTTCCTTTTGAACAGTTTCAAGCACACGCATCTGACACTCAGAAATTCATCAAGAAATATGGACCCTAAGCCAATACAATACGTGTCATTAGTCAGGTTATTTCAGTACTTTCATGGTTTTATTTTTTTTTTCCTGGTAAAAAGTCATTTCACATCGCTTCACCGTCGTCATATGACACCGTTTTAAAGAACTTCTATATACCATTTTCCTGTGCTCTCTTTCTTTCTCTCTCTGTCTTTCCAAAAGAATATCAACTGAATTTTTGAATACGATGAATATATGAAGTTCATACTTTTTGAACTGCGGTTATAGATACGTATGATGCACGATCCTCGCAGTAGAGAGCGCTATTTATGCAATAGCGAGAATCAGACCTGAAAAAAATCAGGCCTGTACGGGATTCGAACCACTGACCTCTGCGATACTAGTGCAGCGCTCTCAGTACCAATTGAGCTAACAAGCCAACTGGGAGCAGGCCGTTAAGTTGATTGAAATTGATTTTCATAGGCCAAAAAAGGAAAGAAAAACGGATTAATGAGACAGTTTTCGCTTATTAAAATTCATATCACTTGGCTTATTCTGTCGGTGGTATTATCTATAGAAACAAATAATTGATTATATTTTAAATATCCTACGGGTGTGTTTTCCTTTTTCTATATTCAAAACAGCATTTTTCAATTCTTCAAACAATACACCTACTCCATCATTAGCAATTCCAATTGCAATGATCCGTCCATCTTCATTCAGTAATTCTAAAAAAATTAAATTATGTTCTCTCTCAGCGACAACTAATTATCAAAGGAATGCATTCAAAGAGTGAAACGAAACCCTAATCTTTACGTCTCAGCAGTTATGACCAGCTTGAATGTAAGAAATTGGAAGACAAGATTTTCTAGAAAAATGTTTTCGTCATATTTTGCTTGGCGATTTAGATGGAACCTTAATGGCACAATAAGATGTTGACATTCATTTTCCACACGAATATTTGACTTTAGCGCTAATGGGCAAGACTTTAAAAAAAAGTAATAACTAATGTTCAAATTTGCATTTTTCTAGGTAAGTCGTACTTTTTGTAAATTCTTCGTTATCACTTTCCCATAGTGAAGGCTTAAGTTCATAGCCGAAACAGTGGGATTCTACAATATTTAAAATATTTTTAGATCTTTTTACCGGTTTAATGATTTTATATAGTTATCTCAAAGGATATTCAGATATTTTTCGCAAAAGTTCAGAGCTAGTTTCAATGAACCAGCATGGACAAAGGTGCTGACATTAGTCAAAGGCGTTGTGTAGCGAAAATGACATCCAGCAAGTTTTACACTTCAGATGTTATTAACAAGTGTTGTCATATTGCTGGTAGCGTCCAAGTGTAATATATGGCAAATACTATGTTCTGATTGGGCCTGATGGGTCCATCTTGCCCGCTTGGGATTGCCCGCTTTCATCCCGAAGAAAACAAATTGTTATGCATGTTGGCAGAATTTTACCCCAGTTTTACAATTGCCGTGCAAAATGCCATCATTCTGACATGCGTAGTAAGTGCGAAGGAGAAGCGACACCTGCCATGCAGCATTAGTAGTTCCCCTCAGAGTGGCTTTTGCAAAGTAAGTAGAACTGAATGTTAGTAGTGCATTGTAAGAATACATAATTTTTTAACATTCACTTAGTTGTCACAAATGTCAGTAGCAGAAAAATATAGATGACAACTAGTAGAGATTAATTACTCTTAAAAACCATCAACACAGGTAAACGTCGGAAACAGGATGCGTCCTTTTCGGCCGTTTTATATTCTGAGGATATTTATCGTGATGTGAAAAGAAACCTATGGAAACATGTCTGAGCCTAATAACCCTACCCCTACTAGAATGCTGACTGTTTTATATATCTTTATATATGGTTCATGACTGGAAGTTTATTTGTAAGAGCTCAGACTGTAGTCTACATGCATTATTAATTTCTATTTTTGTGACCACGTTATTTTGTTCATGTATTTTCATGATAAATGTTTGATCGAGATGTTTCCGAGGAGGAAAGCAACCTAGAAAAAAGTACATACCTTTTCGTAGTATGTTAAAGGTGGTAAGTGTAACCTAAAACGATTTTATTATGATGGAACATTAATCGCCATTAGTTCACTGCAGCTGTTTTTGAAGAGACGATCACAATTACCTTATATGGAAGAATCATAAGTTTCCAATCAGCGGGAAATTTACTCTGAAAGCAATTAGAAATTAAACAATGAACTTGAAGAGGAAGTTGAAGAGGATTCTGAAATGTGAGGACCCGATTGACAAATGCGAAATATATGACAGAGTGCATGTAAGAACAAGAACACTTTTTAACTTCCCTTATATGCTAACAATTCAGTAAGAAAGGTGAGGTAAAGAAATATCCTGATAAATTATTAGCGTATCACAGTTATGTCTCTCAAAATTTTAAAAATTTAAATTAAAAGTGCTGCAAACAGGAAGATTACTTCAGATACAGTCAACACTCACTTAACGATTGTAACACCTTGTAAATAACCGTTTCGTCAACTCTTAGTCAACTCTTAGTCAAACTTTGTTCCACTGAAGTTTTCTCGTGGACGACTACTGCGCAAAGTTTTTAAAGTGACATCGATCATTTCTTATAATCAAATATATTATGCGTCGGTGGAGGTAACGAAATAATTTGGATATATCAACAAAGTTGAAATGGTAAGTCTAAATCCCACAGGGATCAACGAACGCTTTTCATTCCACTAACTTAATTCCACTAATTTATTCGTGTGTTTCTCGTTGCCATGTTCCCACAATAACGTAGCTCCATTTTCTGCCTTTAAAAGCACACACAACCCACAATTCCTCTATTCCTCTATTCGCTCCGACGAAGGGCTAACGCTCAGCTTTTGTAATCGTTACGGTGGCCAATTTACCATTTCAACTTTGTTGATATATCCAAGGTGTTGAAATAAGACTACTTCCTTCCTATAGGTTCAAACCTTCGCCAAATTGCTATTTTTAAACCATGCACACCGTCCACTGGTGTTTTCTAAGTAAAAAATAAGGGTATATCGGGAAAGAAGTTCACGTCACATCGAATAAAAACAGCAAAGCGTTCACTGATGACTGATGTGAACTATGTCTACGACTGTCTTAGCTTAAGTCAGTATGAACACCACAAATGAACAATCGCAATTTCTCAAAGTCCACGCTGTCACAAGTACAAATCGATAAAAACCTCACAGTTTTCAGAGCTACAGAACTAACGTTCTGAAGGCATAAAAATCTGTACACTAACGGCTCTACAATATATATGTATTTTTTCCCTCTCTCTCTCTCTCTCTCTCTCTCTCTCTCTCTCTCTCTCTCTCTCTCTCTCTCTCTCTCTCTCTCCCTCTCTCTCCCTTTCGGCGAGTATTGAAGCTATTTCTAGAATTTTTCTGTTGCAAAATCGTCTTACTTCTAAGATCTTGCCTCTAAAAAGCTAAATGTGTTTCCTGTTCGAGTCCTGATCTGTGTATTTTTTGCACTGACCTTTTGAGTGCGTGGGGAAAGGTTATCTACACCTGGCCAAACGCGCATGCGCAGCAGCAAATACCGAAATAAAAACAGGAAGGCCAATTTTTCTTAATAACTAAGAGATAAACTTTCGCAGTCAGAGAAAAAACACTAGTAAAAATGGATTTGAACTAAATAACAAAAAAAATGCGTGAAATTAAACTAGCTATCTGGTAAACTGGGCTACTCTGTATAAATATTCATAAATACATACACACATACATACATAGAAGGGTTAAACGGGATATCCATAAAACAGTGCTCGATACATATGGTAGAGCGAGTATAACGTGTGATAGGCAGAAAAAAAATCAATCAACTACATTTCATCCTTACAGACCTGTTTCGTGGTTGCCCACTCATCAGGGGATTTTAATCCCTTTTTAATCCCCATTAAAATCCCCTGATGAGTGGGCAACCACGAAACAGGTCTGTAGGGATGAAATGTAGTTGACTGACTTTTTTCTGCCTATCACACGTTACATACATACATACATACATACAAAAAAATATGAGTGACGTTCATGCACAGTTTAGCTCCAATTTCACTGACTCCGTTACCGCGCCATTAAATCTGATAAATCTTGCAGGTTTCATGCAGTTCGTGTTCTTAATTAATTGCAAATATTTGTCATGATATCATTTACATATAGATTACCGAAACAGTTGTGGAAACTAATTTGCAGATAATCACCCCCCCCCGAGAGGCAAATGGAATCATCCAGTCCCTGGCTATTTGAAATAGTTTATTTGATTGTTTGACGTTAAGTCAATACACACATTTGTTCATAAGAACGAAAACATCGATAAAGTAACGACGCATTTTTTCGCTTTTCCGCGCGGAAATCGAACTCAAAGGCCTTTTCAGTTTTGGAATTCAGTTTGCGCGTATTAAAGAAGGCTCAGACTTTGTTGTTCAACTCCAACGTTTCTTGGAAATATCCAAGAAAATGGAAATTAAACTACAACAATAGCAACAAGTTTTTTGTTTCCATTTCCTATCTTCAACTACATTAATTTATTTCAAATGCTTCTAATGCCTCATAAGTGAATTTTGTTTGACTTTCAAATATGTAGAGATAAAAAAAACATATGCAGAAAAATACGACAAAAAGGGACGTAATTTTTCCTTCCTCTTGAAACTGACAACACAAACCTTTGCGTTTTAAGACGCAATACGATTTCTATTCGTTATTTCAATGAATTTAGGACTCTGTAACTAAAAATTCTTGCCTGATCAGTTTTGAGGGTCGATCTTAAGTTTTCTTCAATTTCATTGTTAAAAAAAATATCCTTAAAATCTTTGAAGTTACGTCAAGGAAGTGCCCAAGCAAAAATACTTGATGGATTATAAAGAAAACTAAGTTTCGCGGCCCAATTCAAGGCATAGCCAGCGTGGCTACCGCTTTAACTCTTTATTTTAGTGCTTGTGCCATTACTTAAGAATTCACAGCCCCCGGTTAACTCACTTGGTTAGAGCGCCGGATTGTGTTGTGCGGGAGGTCGAGGGTTTGTACCAATACTCGTGGTCTTAAAATAACTGAGGAGAATTTGCTACCTTTCTATAATATCAAGAAATGGATAGATATTCTAGTCTTCTCTGATAAGGACGAATAAACCGTAGGCCCTGTCTCCTGCAGGTTAGGGGTAGGAGACGTTAATTTCCCACGCACGAGATTAATTGGCGGTGGATGTCCTCCCCTGGGGTGGGATGGGTGGGTGTTCACAGGGCCGCATTTAAACTAGCTATCTGCTAAACTGGGTTACCCTGTATAAATATTCGTAAAAATAAATAAATAGTAAAAACACAGCATACAGAAGACCCCCGGCTACGCGGGCTTCTTAAAAAAAAGCAATGCTTTGATTTCGTTGATCGCAATATTTTTATCTTCGACGTTACGCGCGTCCAATTCAAAGTACAACTTCTGATTTTGTGAAAGAAAGCAAAGAATGGCAATCCATACTTATGGACAGCTTTATTATCGGGATAGTTGGTAATTGTTTTGTAAGTATGCAGTTATCAAACATCACGATTCGTTCTAAAATATATTTTTAGGAAATTGCTCGGGCAGGTGTAACTACTAAGGCTACACGCAAAGTAAATGGTAAAAATCTTCACTTGTTAAGGGAAAAATCTTCATTTTTAATAGGAAAAAGAACTTAAAGCATGTTTGTTCAGGTTCATTACTGACAAAAACGATTCTTTTACTTAAAGGAAAAACAAAACAAAAAACAGATTCAATTTCGTATCTGTCCTTTCATTCGAGGCCAAATATTGAGATGTTTTTAAAGCCTTTTTCTCGGTTGTTGGTCGCTGTGTCCTTAATGGCATTGTAGCACTTATACAAATGCTAAATTACCAACATATTTAATGAATTTGAAATACTGTTGTCATTCCATTGTTTCTGAAGACAGCGATACACAACGCAGTTTTATACATCGTTTAATTTGAGTCCTTGTTGCTGAAGGAGACGGACAGAAATACTCGTTAACTCTTTAACCTCACGAATGACCAGTATCTAATTTCTCCTTACAATATCACCCCTGAATCACACATGAAGGTCGGGAGAATTAAGGAAATGATCACCAACCAAAGAAGTTTTTGATTGTTAAACAAATTCTCCTCGTCAGCACCATAGGAAGTGTATAGAGAACAGTATGGAGAATATGCATACTGATATTAGGGTGTTGAGGGTTGGTCTAAGTGAAAGAAATGTTAACGAAACCTACTGATTTATTAGGAGAAACTGTCTGAAAATTTTATGAGAATGTAAATGCCTTTTTTTTTTCGTAATAGCAGTTAGAACGTATAGCTTTCTTGAGTAATTCGATGACCAGGTACCCCGTGTTATGTTCTTCTTGTTATCCCAGAGGATCGCCAGAAATTTCAAAAAGAACGCTAAAATTAATTACGTTTCGTGCGCGCCCCGAAATTAAATGATTCTGTACAATTGCATTTCAAAACGTCTAACACTCGTTTAAAATGTCGTATCGCTTGTGGAAATTTTTTACCTCTGTGATGACGAATATCGCTGTCGATGAGAATACAGACCACACTAAAC